CAAGGCTGCATCCTCTTACCCCTTTCACAGTTACAGAAGTGTTGGTTTAGGATTCTTCTATTAAAACTATACAAACAACAAAAAACGCCACCCTAAAACAAACTTCTACCTTTTGACCAGTGTTTGTTTCCTCCATTGAATGGCAGTAACTCTGGGGTAGCAGGCAGAGAGAACACTGCAGACAAGGATACATAAAGAACTTGATATTGTCAGCACTTCAAGCACAGAGAAGACAGAATCCAGAATATTAAATCCATAAGCAGATCTAAGAAAATCTATATAACAGGTCAATTGACTGGGACTTGCTTATATCAAAAACCCACCAGAAGTTTTACTTATTCAGTTTCCAGATTGTGAGGAACATAATCTCCTGACATATTTCAGCATCTTTAAGATTCACAATTTTCCTTTCCCAAATAATACTAGAAAACACATTAAAGCTATCTATTAAATGGTAGTCATATCCAATAACTCAGTCACAGAGATGGTCAGAACTGTCAGATCACAGCAGAATCTTTGTTTACAGTACATCCCTACCTCAGGCATCAATAATTTCAGCCTTTTACCATGATCACTGTCTCAGATCTTCAAACAGTGCAGACAATTCTATTGCTTTCTTTTTAGGAACTTGAAAAAGGTGCTGCCTATTTCTAAATTGGACATGGCTTTCTGGAGCAATGAGACTTCATCCAGTATTTATATTGCTTCTTGCAAGATACTGATATTTACAGTTGTTTCCCCATAACCACAAAGTTATGACCTTCATTTAGAATACTATATGCAGAGTAGAGACAACTCTGCAGCCTAATAGATACATTTTGTTTTAACACTCTTCAAAAAATCCATTAAATAAGGATAATTAGTAATAGTGTTTGCACATCAAAACTTCTCTTTCACCACAAACTGCTTAACCTCACTGTGAGCTGCTATCCTGACTTCACCATGGAAGCTGAACCAACTCTAGAAAACCCAAACAATACAAAAGAATAAACTAAAACCAAGGATAAGCTCATTGCAGACATTAGCTACCTAAAAGACTTCTACATTGTTCAAAGCAGAAGAAAAGTATCACTGCTCTAATAAGACCAAGTTACAGGTGCCAACATGCCACTGTATATATGTCTTCATCATCAAATCATCATTTAGTTACTTCAGCTTAAGTTTAGGTAGTAGAAACATTTGATGTAGAAACTATCTGTATTAGAAAGGTTCCAAGCATAAAACAGGGTGTTGTAAAACTAAAAAGTCATACCTGCTTTATAAATCTCATTCTGACTTAGACAGGTTCACTTGAACAAAGTTACCTAGATTGTGTTGCTGGATCTTTCACACTAATTCATTCTCTTCAGTATCATGATATTCTGAGCACCAAACCAAACTATTGAAAGAAGACATTATTTCAAACACTTTAATTGGAAATTTTGCTCATCGGGATTTGGAAAATAAGAACTCAAATACACACCCCTATATTTTCCTATATGTGTACATACATATATATACATACACAGGCATAGAGATGAGTTCAGGCTGAACTGCTGAACTACTGCATTCACAAAAAAAAAAAAGGAAGACAAAAAGCACCTTACTCACGTGCATACACAAGTATGCTAATACAGAATATAGAAGTTTGCATTTAGCTGCGGTTCAGACTACTGTATACACTAGCATGCAAAGATCACATGCACTTGGAATCCCACAGCAGCTGCACAATCTGAGCACACATCTCACATATTACAAGAGCACTAGAACTCAAGTACAGCTACAAGAAGGAAGATAAAAATTTCTGTTTACTGAGACTTTCTTACTGCCTCAGAAGCAACACTTCTTTGGATGTTGCTTCTTTCTGAAGACCTTTATGCTTGCAGCATCTGTATTTGTAAAAAGGGATAGTTCTATCTAGTATTGAGACAAGTAACATTTTCATGGAATTCAGAAACATTACACATCTTTTCCTACAGAGGTCAACCACTAATTAGTTGAAATCCTCCTTTGACAAACTTGCATTATCATTCCAGAATTTCTCCCCAAGTAGTGGAGCAGAGTGGTGGGGACAGTCAGGGAAGAGGCAGTTAACAAGCAATGAACAACAGTGAAATTCAGATAATTTCCAGAAGTTAAACAAAAAAAAAACGCAAGTCTTTAAGAGACCAATTCTGATGGGAAAGGGAGGAGCAAGAAGAGGAGAAAAAAAAAAAAAACAACAAACCAAAAACAAAACCAAGACAACAAAAATACCAAAGTACTCATTATAGCTTTTCAGGTTTCAAATTAAATCATGGCATGTACTGGAATGAACACAAGAAATTCTCAAATACAAGAGCACACCAGCACATCCATTTTTATATTGGAAATGTAGGCCTCCATCTCATTTTCCAAAATGTCCAGTCCAGCCTGAGAAACTGGCTCTACATATTGATAAAAATGAGAATGTATTCTGTCAAGGGTACTGCAAGGGATGATTTGAAAGGCAAGTTTTATCTGCTCTTCATGGAAACCAGCAAAGGCACTAAGGATTCTTCACAGAGGTATAATCTCATCCACATCTTTAACCAAAATTCTCTGATAGGTTTGCAGCAGTTCTTGATCTTAATTTTACTCTGTTTTCAAATTCACAGTGAGGCTACATCTTCAGGTGGCTGAAGGATGGTGGTATGGAAAACTAGAAAAAGAAATATTGTCTCTCTCTGAGGGGCCACAACTATTTGGACAATAGTTTAATGATTCTATGTTATCTATAGCGCAAGAAGTTAGAGCTGCCAGGAATTGAAATTAATTACTTCTAAAAACAATTTTGAAGGGAAGATAAAACATAAATTCACACCCTTTCCAAGTTGTCAAGTTCTTTGAGATATTAGGTATTAAATCTTGCATCTTCAAAACACACATCTGCTATTACACAGCAAAAGTATTTCTTTTATTCCATCACCTCCCTTTCATTCGCAACAGAAGAGGGTCTTACTCATTCAGATACCTACATCAGTCATATTTGCAAATCTGACAGTAAGTATATCTGCCTGCACTTTTTTATTTTTAGATAAGCAGTGATAATTCTTCTCACCTGGTATCCTCACAACAGAAATGCTTCAGATGAAGTCACAGCAGTGGAATACATACTTTCTTAAGAATAAAACATACAGAGCTGTAGCAAAGCATCACCTATTCCAACTTCACATTTTGTTTACTGAAATAATATTAGGTACCCAGGTGGAAAGACAACAGACATTTTCCTACCCTTCTGGAAAAAATGATGGAGATATTCGAAGACCAAACTAATCAAGATGGTTTTATACAACAAGGGCAAACACTTTCAGCTAGAAATTAACTGAAAAAAGACTCCTTGCAAGGAATCTAAACCAGCAAGGGGAAACGGCGGGAAACTGGGAATCCATTAAATACTTTGATAATAACACTGTATTTTCTGAATGAAATAAACACATACAAATCCCTCAATATTCAAACCACAGAACAACTATAATAATCAGTCCCCATGATACTAGGAACCTCTCCTTGAATTCCATGATCTATGCTGAAGAGAGCCCAAAGTTCATCTGAGCTCCCCAATACAGATTAAAAATAAAGCTGTCCTATTTACACCAGTGTGTTTTCCTAAACCTCTCTCATATTCCACTTCTGCACCCCCCAAAACCGACTAAACAGTTAAGTTACAATTGAGAACGATAGCACCAGGTTGGTTAAGTTTTTGAGCAACACATGTAGAATATTCGAGTTTCACTGCTGCAGGACACAACATGAAATGCAAGAATCAATCAAATTCTATAAAGAGGGTTGACTCGGAGGGCTTTCATATGTTTAATCAAAACAACATCCTTACATGTGTCAGTTTTACTCCCACATAATGAGAAACTAGAGAGAAACACTGAGACTAGTTGGGACAAACTACATCAAAATATCATTCTGTAAACTCATTAAAATTACATTTGGAGAGGAAAGGAGTGAGAATTGTTACACACATAGCTAGCACTGAAACAATTACTCCAGTTGCATCCTTTAGAGAACTCTTAATCACATTATACTCCAGTATGTAAATTCTTAAAGCATGGCCCACCACACTTTACATCTCTCACATGCACTAAGCATAAAGCCATTGCACTGCAGATTAATTTCCAAGTACCGTTGACACCTGTCCAACTAAGTGGTCTTTCACAATTACTGTCTGATAGATATGACATTCACTGTTAATAGCGAAGACATTACTTACACCAGGGCAAAAGTGAAGAAAAAACATTATATTTTCACCAACAGTTTCTGTTTGCAATCTACTAAACGTTAGTCACAGAAAAGCATTGATGCATTCATTCACATGCTCACAGGTTGGAGAAAGCAAGAGAGATGACATGAACACTGCACCTCTCCACGGTTTCACATCCATACACGATGCTTTAAAAGGAGAAAAAGAACAACAAAAAAAAACCAACAAACTAATTGGAGACCTACCTACAACTCTAGCACGTCTACGCCTGGAGCCCTGCAGCCTGGCAGTGCTACTGAACAGCCCAGCACAGGAGCAGGAACCGCAAGTTTTTAGCACAGAGCACGTTATCTCCCAGCTCAGCCACTGCCTCACGGCGTGACCTTGGGCGAGTCACTTCCCCCGCATCCCGGCTCCCCACCTGAGAGCCTCCCGCTCCTCAAAGCGCCAAGGACGAAACACCGGTAACTACTCACCACAAGCGCCTACACCGGCGAAGCTGGAATGGGAGGGAGGGAGGAGGATGACTGGGAGTGGGGGTTTCCTCACTTACAGGTGATTAAAACCTTCCCGACAGTGATTCAGCCTCCCGCCTGGGGGAGGGTCTCCCCCCACACCTTCCCCGTCTCGTACTGTACGGGTTGAACCGGAGAAGAAGCCGGCAGCTCCGGCTCGCCCGCCCCAAGCGCCCGCCCCGGCGGGGAGTCGATCCCTCCGTGCCTCCCGCCCCCACCGCCAGAACCCTCCCGGCGGCCCCAGCCCGGCCGCGCTCGGAGGCGGCGTTACTCACAGCACCCGCGGGGCGGAAAACTCACAGGTGGCCCGGCGCCGCCGGCGACCTCCGCGGCGGGAAGCCGGTCACCTCAGCACCGCGCGGGCAGCGAGAGAGCTGGGGCTGGGGCGCTGCGCTCCGCTCCCCGCCGCGGGGCCGCGCAGCTCCGGCCGCTGCCGTCGCCTTCCCTGCGCGGGGCCGACTCCCTCCCGCCCTTCCTCGCGCCGCCGGCCAATGCGGGCCGTGGCGAGGAGCCGGCTTTAACCATCTGTTGCGAGGCGCCTCCTCCAAGCGCTGCCGCCTCCCTCGCCGGGGGGCTCCCGCCCAAGCACCCCGCCGGGAAGGTGGGGAACGAGGAGGAAGCTTTACCCCCACCCGGGGAGCTGTTTGCCCTCTGTACCCCCAAGAGCTGGGGTTGTTCCCGCCCCCACTTACCTCAGGATCGCCGCCCCCTCAGGGCTGGCGCCCCTCGCCTCAGCGCTCTCCTCTCCGCACCCTCTGCCCTTCCCCTGCACAGCACCCGCGGCTCCCCCTCCCGCCGAGGGCCGAGGGAAGAGCAGCTCGACTTGGGGTGCCCCGAAGAGCGCTGGGCACCGCCCCGGGCAGCCCCGCGTTAGGAGTGCCAGGTGGGAAGCGAGGCGGGAAAGGACGGGGATGGGAATGGGGGATCCGTCCGGGAACAGGGAGCGCATGTGGGGTCTAATCCTCCTCAGGTTGGCGGGGATAAAGTCCTGGCCTGATAAAACTTGCGTACTTCCCACTTAATAAAGAGGGCTCTCCACATGGGATGTCAGGAGGCGGGCGGTGGTATTGCGCGGAGATACGGGCCTCATCCTGCCTCAGTGGGCATAAACCAGGGCTAAAATCTGCTGCTTTTAGACTTCTGAGACATCTCCTGTGGAGAAGCCGTTCCCGAAGTCAAAAGTCTCTCTCGCTGTGTAATATTTCTGAGTTTTAACCTTTCACGTTCAGAATTTGAAGGTTTTTACACAAACATGAGGACAGGGTCCCTTACTCTGGGTCCCTATCTCTCCACATCAGAGGATGGTCGTTCAGATGTTTGCAGTGCAAGCATAAACTTTCCCCAAAACCAGAGCCACAGTTCCTGTTTTACTTCTCTTTTCAAATTAAAAAAGCATGATCAGAGTTTTCTGTGGAAGGAAAATACGTACATTTGTTGTGGGTGTTAATGCAGGTTCTAAATGAATTTCTGTCAGTTTTTGAAACTGTCAGATTCTTATTTCTCGCTAGAGCACTGTCATTAAATTATGGCTTTATATGGCTTTAAAACCAGAGTACAGACCAGATACAATTTTCAGGACATGCAGGATTTTAGATATATTATTGTGCAGATTTTAAGGTTGTCTTTCCTCATTGACATGTGTTTGATCTGTAGCTGGATAATCTTGTGAGTGAATTAAGGTCCTTTTATTATTAAAAAATATTATATCTGGGAATAAAGTCAACCACCTGTATTTCATTCCAATGCTGTTACAAAATGGCCTGTAAAGGATAGTGTGTTATTCCAAATAGACACTTTTGAAGATGAGATACATCCCTTACCCACTAGGAAGGCTTTATCTTTGCATGAAAGGGTCTCAACGCAGCTGAGATTTGTCTTATTACAAAAAAGTTTCAAAAATACTCAAATTCTTTGGATTTTTCTTATAAGACTCATGACGGATGAAATTTTGCCCTTATGTGTGCATGTGGGATGCCTATAAATCTGAAGGGAGTATTTGTCATTACAAGATATTTTTAAGGAATGGTTTCTATGTAGTCATAATTACTAGAATGGCAAATTAACTAGTGAATCTTCCATTAATCTTATAAAGCTATTCTCAATCCAAAGTTATTCCCATAGATATTCTAATCAAGGCTCGTCATAATAATTTTGTGAGATATTGTTTCTAACATTACTGCAAGGTTTTGTTTTAGTACTCTAAGAATGTTATTACTATAATGGATTTTATTAATACATAGAAATTCCATCTAACGTGTTAAACCAATTGTTCTAGGTGCCAAATATTTGCATAAAAGGATGCTCTTCATTTTAGTGCTTCACACATCATCATATATAGAAGTCAAAGAATGGTTGGAAATACAACAGTCTATAGGCGAACAACTGGCCTCTGTAACAGTGAAAATACAAATAACCCACTTGTACAAGAAATCTTGGCAGAATCCAAAAGCATGTGCAGGTAAGTGGTGTCTCAGTCCACTGCAGTGATAAGCACTGTTGTTAAATATAAAAACCTATGCCTTAAACCTCAAAATAATGTTTCTCTATGAAGTGTTTAATTTCATAAGCAAAATGATTACTGCAAAGGCAGTTACCTACCTTTTTTAAAATAAGCATTCTTTCCCCTGCTTCATTACAGTTCTAATTACTTATTTGTATAGGTTAAAATATGATAAATTCTGCATTCATACATCATCGGTATTGCATACATCATGGATGTGATTAGAGCAAGATTCAAACAGATCAACAACATGCCATCGCTTCAGGGATTTTTTGTTTTACTTCCTGCTATCTCAGTATGTGACCTTGGGAATTCATTGAACACTTTTGTGAACCATTCTGTTCATCTGTGACGTCTGGGATAGTCATAATTGAAGAAGTGCACTTTATTAGTAATAATATTTTGGGAATTTATTTATCTGTACCAAATGAACTAGTAAGTAACCTCTTTGAATATAAGGATCTAATCATCGTAACATCCAGCAATGTGCACTTGCCATCCAGAAAGCGAACCATATCCTGGGCTGCCTCACCAGCAGCGGGACCAGAAGGTCAAGGGAGGGGATTCTCCCACTCTACTGTGCTCTAGGGAGAACCCCCCCTACAGTCCTGAGAGAGGTGGGCTTGTTCAGCCTGGAGAAGGCTCCGGGGAGACTTTAAAGTAGGTTCCAGTGCCTAAAGGGACCAATAAGAAACCCAGAGTGAGACTTTTCACAACGGCTTGTAGGCATAGGATGGAGGTGGTGGGGTGGGCAGCTGGGTGAGGGGCTTTAGACTGAAGGAGTGTACATTTAGATATAAAGAAATTTTTTTACTGGGAGGGTGATGAGGCGCTGGTACAGATTGTCCCAAGAAGCTGTGGCTGCCCCAAAGCCAGAAGTGTTCAAGGCCGGGTTGGATGTGGCTTCAAGCAACCTGGTCTAGTTGAAGGTGTCCCTGCCCATGGCAGAGGGGTTGGAATTACATGATCTTTAAGGTCCCTTCTAAGCCAAACCACTCTATTATTCTATGAATGCAGTATTTTCTGCTGCACTCTAAGCAGAATATAATTGTAGGTCTATATTGCTTAAATGAGGTTTAACAACTAGGCAGTATTTTTTGTCAAATATCATAGCAAACATCTTAAAACCATCAAAGATCCTGTATGGAAGTCCCTATTTGTCTAATTGTTGAGGCAGTGCATTAGCAGTGTGTGCAGAGATAAAGCTGCAAGCAATTACAGTTCAGGAGACCAAATTCGGGGAGAAGGAACAGTTTTCCACAGAGGTCACAATAAAGAGAACTATCCCTGAAAAGCTTTATGTTTTCTGAAGAAAGATTGTAGCACTTAATTATAATAGTTCAAAGATACTAGAGTCTGGTACCTCCAAGAAAACAATTAACAAACTATGTTGGTGTGGTTTCCATGTGCAGCAGGTGTTCATCACCTCAGAAGCTCAGAAAACATCATCTCTGGCCATTCCCACACTACGTGTTTGCATTAAGAACGTTGGTTTTGGTGGCTGCTTTCAAGTCACATCCAACAAGAGATTGTGTGTGTGTGTGTTACATATAGTCACCCTGTAACTTTCTTCTTACATCTTTACGCAAAGTTGAGCAAAATGCATCAATGATGCTTTGAGCAGAGTTAAAAATGCGGATATGCATTAGCTGAAATAATCAAATATTTTAAATCCCTAATGTCTTAGGAGATCCATTAACCTTAATCAGTTCAACACATCTGATTGTGCTTGCCAACTGCCCTTTTCCAAATAAAGATATATCAAGTTACATTAATAGCATCAGTAATTAAATAGCGTGAACGCAAAAGCAAGCCCTAAAATCCACATAGTGCAGACTTGGGTCACTGATTTAGTTCCAGATCTTGTAGCAGGTTATTCTCTTAGGTGAACCAGCCAAAACCATAAAAGTGGAGCTCAGCATGTGAGTGCAAAGGCAAAGTTTGAATTTTAAACACACCCTCTTCTTTTTTTCCATGTGAAATATATTAAGGTCCCAGTGGAAAAAAAAAAACAACCCACTCAGGATTGAATGAACTAATCAGAAACATACCTTAGAGCCTTAGTCATAAAGAAATTGCTTTGTTATAAAGACAAAGCAGATTTGTGGGAATGTTGCCACTTTTTATAAACTGTCAAAAGCTGGGGTTTGTTTTATTTTGGTTATGTGCCAGTCATGACTCAGGATCTGTTATGAAAATGAATGTGCTATTTCAAATCTTGCAAGACTTAGCCTAGATTTAGACACTGTAGTATATTTACCTAAACAAACAAATTAATCTCAGAAGCTGCAGAACCGAAACCTCTCGGAATGTCCCTTTAGGTGCTGACACTACTAAGAAAAAACTGTGGATGGATGCATGCTGCTAACCACTGAAAATGCCAGAGGATGGTAAGTGAAATGTTCTGTTCTTACCTCACTGGCCATGTCTTCTGCTGGCAAACAACTGTATCTGTTAGGAGAAGGGATAAAAAATAAAAACAATAGTAGCAACAAAAGGTACAAGTAGTACATAAAGAAATGGCTGTCTAAACTTCAGAAGATAAGACAGTTGTGTATCTGACTCCAAGATTTGTATTTCTATGTATAGACAGCTATCAGAACTGAGTGCTTTTTCTTTTTCTTTGATTGATGTGGTAAGTGGTAACTGCAGTCTCACATTTCCTATGCCCTTACTTGGAACCTTAAGAGAAATGCATTATAACTCCTATGCTAACAGGGAAGTGTTTAGCAATAACGACCTGTAGCATCTAGAGCACTTTTTTGTTTCAAAGAGCTTTGCAACCATTGCTTAATTAATGTGTTCTGTGTTCAGTTCTGGGTAAGCATGCAACCCTCCCACTAAACAGTTGGGCTTTGTTACGGCTTTTAAAGCCTGAACTGTGCTGCTGGTTGCGTGAGTGAGCACGTGCAGAGGGGCAGTGCTGGAGCGATAGCTGCAGAAGGCGTGCTGAAGGCGTGCTGTTAGGGTGGCTACAAGGAACATGGTTAACAGTGGCTGTAAATCTTTTCCTTTCTTGAGGTGCCAGATGACACACAGAGGTAAAAAAAAGCCTCGTTATCTCTTTCCACAAGTTAGGTTTCCTCTTTTATGTGTTACACATAAAGGCAGGCTACTGTGCTAACACAAGCATCACAGTCATGAAGGTCCTTCTGCTACTCACACGCTCACAAATTACTTCTCTTTTCTGACTTTCCATGTGCGCAAAAGCAAAACTTATTGTATTGGTTTCTACATTTAACATAAAATGGATTTATTTTTAGTTACAATCTGTTTGTAATGAGGAGTTTCCCTTTTCAGTCCAGTTCATCAAGATACACCTGCCTGGATTCACTTGTACTGACTGCCTTTACTTCAGGTAAGAATGGGACTGGCACAGTGATCCTGCCTTTGTCAGCTGATAGCCTGACTGAGCTGAATGATACATATACAAAAGTTACCATTTTAAGAGGCTGTTTACACTAGCTACTGGCAACTGAGCCAAATTTCTTAATTTGAAATACATAGTGCACTCATTATGTACTTCAAGTATACATAGTTACAGTGGAGCCCTGCCAATGATGCTGTCTAAGCAGTTGCATGCATTGCATGTCTGCTTTGATAGAGTACTGGATCTGGCACTAGACATTACAGAACAGGTTTTTTTAGGGTTTGGGTGGAAGACAGACCCTTAGACACCTTAGGTAGACTATAAGAGGTGGTTTTTTTTCCTATCTCCAGTATGTTGAGGGAAAGCCTCCTAAGGAGTATGAATACATAAAGTCATTTCAGCAGGGAAAAATTGACAGAGGGAGGAAGAACTTTATATAGTTTAGAGATCTCTGCCAAGTTGCTTGCTGTAGAAGCTTCTGCAGACACACTTTGTAAGCAAAGATTCCTTGGACTCTAGCAGGGGACTGAACATTTTTGAAAAGATGTACAGCTTTACACTGCAGGACAGGGTTCACATTATTTACTGGGAAATGGCTGGCTGCCTGCCAAGCTGAAAAACACTCCCTTGCTAGCTGAGGAAAAACAAGGTAAAATAAATACCTCAATATTACTCTATTACAGTGTTTAGATGCTACCCTTCAGATGGAAAAATGAAATTTATTACAACAATAAATGACCCCCTAAAGATCTGAGAACTGCCAGGTTTCTCTGTCTCTTCCTTTCTAATGAAGCTTTGCAATTTCACCAAAGTCAGAAAGTTGCGATTATACCAATAGATCATGCCTGCGCATACATATGCAGTTTGTATGGAAGTGACACGCTTTCATTGTATTTCTAATGGAAAAGATCAAATAATTCCATAAAATATGCTACAGGTCTCATGATTGATGATTTCATTTTGAACAAGGCAAATTAAATATGAGACTAAGAACACAGGGAATCTGTGAAATTACTCACTTGTATATACAGATTTATGCATAGATCTAATCCTGACATTTGGTATGGGCTGAATGTGCATGTGGCATTGTTTTTGGTTACAGTTCATGGTTCTTTCCTATCATTTGTACATTTTTAAAGTAATTCAGATCAACAAAGCTGCAATTTCTGCAGTCCCAAAAATGCTTGAAGAATTGAACACAGTTATCTCTGGGAATTTTTTCTTATGATATCTGGAAGTTGTGTTTCATATATGCAGTGCTACTGCAGGTATACTTGTATATTAACCAGTGGATCTGTTATTTACATATGAAGGACAGAAAAGTATGTACACTTTTAAGATTTTAAGTGAGCTCTGAGTTTTGCGCTTCACCATCAGCAAGCACACAATTTAATTCACAAGCTGTATCTAAACATTTCCTTCCTGTTTGAGATCTAAAATATCAGAAACAGCTTGGCTATAGGCTAGGCCACACATTCGTAGATATTAAGAAAAACAGGAACTGTTGTGACAGCTTAACTTGATCTTCTGGCATCTAGGTTTTCTGGTTATACAGCAAATCATCCAAGCTTCACTGGTTACCACTGTCTCTCCTGTGATAACTGTTAAATACCACAGATACTGTTAGGCAGTATCTTACTTATGTATGCCATGTGTATTTCTATGAGTTGAACCTTAAAATCAAACCCTCCCTGACCTTTGGAACATGCAGTCACACGTGCATTTAGCTGCTAGCCTTTACTACTTAAAAATCTCTAACAGAACTGCTATTTTGATTTTTTGACTTAATATCTGGACTCAAACCAGACCTCCATGTATGAGATACATCTCAATATGTATAAAGCCATATTTGGAATCTCTAGGGTCTCAAGGGTTGTTAACTTGAAGGTATTTGCTTATGCTAGGAAACAGAGAATATATGCAACAGCAACATTTCTTTTGGATTTTACTCTTCTCAAATACATGCACTGAATGAATACTTATATATACTGTCTTTATGTTGTAAACTTGGATATAGGTAACAGTTTTTCTGGGACAATATGTGTTTGTGTAAACGTGTCTTCTATGGAAGGATGGGCAAGTTTTGGGCTGAAGTAAAACAGCTTTAGATAGAAGTTGGATTGCAAACCATAGAACAGGTGTTTGGCACAAATGAGACATCACAATAACACATCGTTTTTACACATACTCTTTCTTTAGGTAGAAAGCAAGTGTACAGTGCTATGCTGTGTTCTTCCTGCTGCTTGGAATGTTGATATAAAGCATCAGAAATAATAAACTATTTCAAAAGTTTTCTTGTTACATAAAGAAATTCTGCTTAAAGAAATTTCTGCTTCCGTGTCAGTGACATCAGATGTTGCAACCTCTAATTGTACAAATCCTCAGGTTTTGTCTTTTTATTTTGTACTGGCAGAGCAAAGTAATCTGAATGTGTATATGAAGGGGGAAGGGACTAAACTGTGCAGCTTCTAGGAAGCAGGAGCAGCAAATGAGAATCCCACCCAGAGGCTTTCATTATATGGTTCTTATGAAAGAAACTACATTGTGGGATAAATGCCCAGGCCATTGTTTGGCTTTTAACCCATTCCTCCCTCAGATGAAATCATACCAAAGTAGGTTGGAATTTCCCAGAGTGAAAAAATGTGTTTTGGTTTTTTCAAAAGGATCAAAGTTTTGTCTGGAAAATCCATTAGAACAGAAATCTTTATCAAACAGATTTTACCAGATAGGATCCTTTTTCAGTATATGGTGTCACGCTGTATACCAAATAGCATTCTTCTCTTGCCAAAAGCTACTTTAATATGCCTAGCACAGCAGCTGTAGGGCTCATGATCTTTACAGACAGAACGTAAACTTAAAGATTGATAATTATTTATGATAATTTTTATTTCTATACTGTAATGGTAGAACTGCAGAAAATAACCTAAATCTGTATGAGAACTGAGCCCTCGTGAGACTGGAGCTTTGTAATGCACGCATTCAAGTTTGGCCCTAAAATACATAAATCATGGCATTTTAGCTGCTGAATTGTAGAACACAACAAATGCAGTGCAAAGGATTGCAAAGAGCAACTTTATCTAAAGCACTGAGGACTGAGAAAGAAAATTCAAATTCATCCCTGCCATTGAGTGAGTGGATTCATTTCTGGGTTTGATTTTTATGAGTTGGGACATGTTTGTGATTCTTTCTTGCATTTTTTTTAGCAGAAACAATAAATCATACGCTTCCTAAATGAAACGTTTTCCTTTGTGACAGATAATTTTGCAGGAAAATTGCATGTAGGAAAATATCATTAAAAATAAAATTCCCAGTCCATTTTGTATTTTATTCCTGCTGAGAGCTGGTTGTCATTTGAACTTTCATGCCACTGCCTGAGCACACTGGTTATATATTTATTTGACCTATTTCTTAGCACAATGTATGAGAGAACTGAACATGAAGGAGAATTGCTTATAAATTATATTACATTCTTTTTAGTTGCATGTGTTATGTTTCTCCCTTTGTGATTGCAACAGGCAAAAGCTGCCATGGACAAGACAAAAAAGAATAGGCATATATAAATAAATCACCTATTCTGTAGTTCCTTATGTTTGATTGTAAAACTCCAAAGTCAGCTCTCCATTTTTATCAACTTCATTCAGTGCGGCTGCAGTGGCGTTTCTAAGAACTGTGGTCAGATGACCTGGTTGTAAATCCACAAAATATGGATTATACCTGGTTGCATATGCATTTTTAGATTACTCTCTCTTATTATTTGAAGAATGAAGGTAAAAGTCAGTCCCTCTGTTTTTTTTTTGTGCAACACATGGTATGCACTTCTGATGTTGGTTAATAAACGGTAATATATTTGAAGCATAATCATAAAGTTTTGGCAGATGACATTTTGTATTTTCTGGAACAGAGCAACACAGACAGCAGTACTGACTGTTGAGTTTAAGTCCCCTTCACTCCAGAGTTCGTATGTCTTCTCTTCCAGTTCCTCTCTTATTTGCAGCTTTGTGATTTATGTATTTATCCGCA